CAGCCTGGTCTTTTGTTCAGAGTATGGTCTTTTGTTACAGGGCCCTGTTTCCTTCATCCGAGTTTGGAGACCCCAACCAAGCATATAAACCATACATTTCCGATTCCAGAGTCCCCCGCAGGAAGTGGTTAAGGCGGTTGTAAATCTTTTTCATTTTTTCTCAAAGCTTCGGGAATAACTGAGTTTTCGGGGAAGCACTTAAATACCCGGGGTGTTTGATTCAGAAAGTCCCCTTTTTTGTTTGAGACACACAAGGTTTGAGGGAACTCTCTTTTTTGTTTGGGCTTTGAGAGTGAAGTGAGGTCAAAGGTCAGGGGATGAGACGTTTGGCTCAGGGACACACGTGAAACTGGGGTCAAAGGTCAGGGGATGTTTGGCTCGGTTAGTCACAAGGTTTGGGGGAAGTCCCTTGGGCAAAGAAAAGTCCATACTACACAAAGGGGTTGGTCGAGTATCCCCCGTTGCCTACTACCGCCCCTCCCATCTCCGGTTTCTGGTCAGGAGCTGGCTCCAAAAGTTTTTTTCTGAAAATGATGTACAATAACGCACCATGTCCATCAATTGCATGCGCATGTAACTCTGGCCACTACTAACACGAAACAGATTGACCCCCACACTTACACTATTTAAAAGCATTTTCAGCTGGTACATTTACAAAGGACATAAGACCACCTAGTTAGTCTGGTTCCCAGATGTAAATGTATTAAATGACATCATCTGAAGAAAAGTGCTTGACTAAATGTACAGGGAACTAGAGGGACATGTTCACTGTACATATTACTCAACTGTACCCCATCAAAAGTACATTAAAATTACACAGTAGCAGGATTCCAGTTGATTATGCAAGTTTGGCAGCTTTAATTGGATATCGTTTTATACCAAATAAAAAACTTTTTTATTTTGCCGAAGTGTAGGTCTACGGCAATGTGTGCAATGACCAGAAACCACAAACTTTTTGTGGGGGGCCCTAATACATACATTCCTATGAGGTTTCCAAACATTAAAATGTTCCTGAAGCACCAAAAATTTAATTACACTCTACAAACATATTTGAAAATAAAACAGGAACACCAGATCACATTAATAGGATTCAACTGGTCTCCGTTTAAATGTTTTGGCAAAATTTGTGATGGAATTCTAAACATTTGTATAAATGTGTAAACATCTCTGCCTCATCTTTGAGCTCCACTATTATTTTAGCTTAGATTTCTAATTTGGCCTCATTTCCTACGACATCCCATATGTCCAACTCTCCCTCCACTAAAAATTTTGAAGTTAGATGTACACATATGAAAGTTAAAATACATCAGATATGGGAGGGGGTTAGGGATGAGGGGGTTTGGGGTAGGGGGGTGTTATGGTTACGGGGTGATTAAGGGCTGTTTGCACATATGTACATGTATACTATACAGAGCTCCTACCGTTGCTGGCATCAAAACAGGCTCTTGGAAGTACTGGGTCAGAGCATCCTCTCCTATACTTGACTCCAAACTAATTACCTCGTCTAAAATGTCATCCACCTTTAACAGAGACATATAAATATGGAGTCAATTATTCTCACATTAATTTGCATGAGGCAAATAAAAGTGATCGTTAGGACTGATTTTAAAAATTGTGATGCTGATGTTATTTTTTTAATTGACAATGTTTTTACTATAATATCACCCACTGAGCACAGTCAACACATAAGAGAACATTCAGCTATCAAATAAACTAACACTCAACATATATTGTACATATGTAATGCACAAACTCAACAACATTAACCCTAACCCTCCTCAATCCTCCAAAATCCTTCGGGCGATTTTGGAGGATTCTGGAGGATTGAGGGTGAATGGAAAAAATGCATGGCTGATTATGAAGGATGCCATGCGTGAAGGTCGTGGATTAGACCTTGTATTGTTTTTGCTTAGTCAAGCACAAATTCAGCCCGATATTTCTTTTGAATCAACCGCACTGCTCAAGAATGCCCTTCGCACTGCCTCAATATACTGACAGGAATTGCTGGAGGATTTTGAAGGATTGAGGCAGCAGGCAGACCTCCAAAAAACATTTTCAAGAAATTTTGGAGGATTTTGGAGGATTCAGGCTGAATGCAATTTTTTCATGTTGAAAATCGGAGGATTTTGGAGGACTTTGGAGGATTGAGGATGGTTCCTGGTAAAAAGGCCGAGGGGGTTAGGGTTAATGAAAAATACATGATTTATTTCCTTGAAAACCAGCTATCATTTTCCTTGAAAACCAGCAATATTTTTTGTATCCCAGTTGCTGCAACCCAAGCCACATGGATGCTGCCCTTTATTCATTTCTGTATGCAACAGCTCTCACAAACATGCAGCATCAGCAAGGTAACAAAGGTAGCAACGATGGGCATCCATACACAATCTGTATACTGGGTAACAGAGTTATGAGTGGCTCTGATTTTAATTCCATTTCATTTCAGAGTCAGATTTTTCCCCCTTTTTTGTCAAAAACCAAAGGCTGGTGCAAAGCACAATCCATTGGGTTCCACAGAGCACAGTGTTATCTTCTATGGATGAAGACTACACCTTGCTGCCTTTGTATCATGGTGTGGCTGGTATTAACTACTGGGGTATTTTTCATTTATTTCTGTTTTCAAAATTCTTAAAAATTCATTACTTACACCTACAAGAAGGACTGTCTGGTGGCTACTCTGATCTGACAGACAAAATTTATTGATGCTTGATTATTTCAGCCAGGCCTGCTGCCTTGTAAAAAGAGCCAAGAATATGGGTGGTACGTAATTTTCTTTTGTTCCCAAAGCTAGCACAGTACACTGCTGAGTCTTTTCAATAGGGGCCAGATTAGCATGCAGTGGTATTGTATGGCCCATCCCTGCAGTGATGGAGCGCTTTTGTCTCCGGTAGTAATCCGCTCGCACTGAATGCCCCAAACCGTGGTATACTGTTTCAAAACAAGGCTGGATTATCTCCACTTTTGACAGTGAAAATATGTCGGTAATTCCCAGCAGCTTGGTCTTTTGTCACGAGCACGGTCTTTTGTGACAAGGCCCAGTTCCTTTTGTCCAATTTCGGGCACCCCAGCTGTTTCGGGCAGCAAGTGGTTAATCGTTCATTTGAAGCAAGATATGGAACAGAGAGAACCCCCGGCCTTTGTGTTGGTCATTGTTTAATCGGAATCTCATGAATTCTTTACAGACTTTTTGGGGGGATGTGTTTGGTAACAATAGTCTAGAGTGTGTATAGGGATTGGACAGGTAAGGGGGGTACATACAATAAATACATACTGGTAAAACATGTACAGTTGTTCTCACAAGTATTCATACCCTTGGAAAATAAAATACTTTTCTAAATTCTTCATTTGTAAAAGCTATTATGTTGGTACACATGTACTTCCACTATATCTTTTGTCTATTTGTTGCAATACACAAACCCATGTGTATTGACTAAACTTCATTTGCATAATAATAGATAGGGCCTGGGTTTCTTTTTGCTCCTGTTCAAAATTATTCATACCCCAGGTTTACATAGTCAATTGTGTTTTCTTAATAGTCAAAAGTGTAACCTTTGTTACTAATAGATGACTACCTCAAGATGGTTCCTATAAGTGTCCACATGCTTTCTGCATGTTTCCTGTGGGATGTTGGTCCACTCTTCCTTGGCGAAAACTTCCAGCCAGGTCAGATTGCATGGTCTCCTGGCCATCACTCCAGTCTTCGGCTCCCCCCACAGAGACTCTATTAGATTTAGGTTAGGACTTTGATTTGGCCATTCCAGTACATGGATACCACTGTCCTTGAACCACTGCTGGTACTGCTGGTGCTGGAGTTTCTCTGCAGATGCTTTCTCATTGTCATCCAGGATCATGATATAATCCTCCTTCTTCATGATGCCCTGTATCTTAATGAGGTTCCCGGTGCCACTGACAGAGAAGCAACCCCAAAACATTATGTTGCCACTACCATGCTTTATAGTTGGGACAGTGTTCTTCTTTTTATGTTTCTCCTTGCTTCCTTCTCCTTTCTTCCTTCAGATGTAGGCAATATCCATGTGGCCAAACAACTCCATCTGTTTATGGCCTTGGATGTGATCTGTGGGTTGTTGGCCTTCCAGCAGATTTTTCTGGCGAGTCTAGGGGATACTTAACACTTCCTGATGCCACATCCAGTGAGGTTTTTTTACTGTGTTGAAGCTTTAACACTTCCTGATGACACTCTGAACTATTACAAGAGGGACCTCATATTGCTTGGAAATTGCCTTTAAGCCTTTGCCTTCATTAAGGGCACTGGCTCGATACACTGGCTGTGTCTGGAGGAAGCAAGTGGAAGCATACAAGAGGTGTGCAAAGCCATCATAGCAGAGTATCTGGTTGATCTGATGGTCTGCCCAAGTATACCCAAGCAATGGTGCAAAGTACACGCACCTGACAGGTACGATCAGAAGTGGAGCTTCCCCACGCCTGTGGAGCCACAGATGGCAAGCATGTGGCCTGCCCGTATCCTCCCAGTAGTGGTTCCATGTACTACAACTATAAGGGTTTCTACTCCATCTTGCTCTCTGCCATGGTTTATGCGGACTACAAGTTCCTCTGGGCAGATACAGCAGCTTGGGGTCTGCATCCGACTCCCAGGTTTTCAATGATAATGAAGTCAAGGAGTGCATTGATGATGGTACAATTGGCTTCCCAGATCCTGAGCCTTTCCCAACAACACCCAAGATGTTCCCTACTTCACCTTACAGTCACAGGGGCATGACCAGAGAAGAAAGGAACTTCAAGTACCATCTCTTGTGTGCCAAGCAGCTGGTGGAAAATGCCTTTGGCATCCTGGCCAACAGGATCCAAGTGATGCTCACCACCATGCAGCACCACCCTCCACAGTGAAGCTCATCGTCACAACTTGTGTGCTCCTCCAAAACCTGATGACAACCTAGTACCCAGCACTCCAGAACCAACAGCTGGAAAAGGCAGAGAATGTAGGCCGTGACTTTGTGGCTGGAGCATGGAGAGAGGGTGGCGACCAGCAGGACACCATCGAGGTGGCTGGTCCCTAGGGAGACGCAGAGGAACCTTGCTGAAGCACTGGGTCAACTCTGAAGTAGGCTCTGTACCTTGGCAGGATGGGATAATCTAGTTTGTTTGCCACCTGCAGAACCCTGAAGTATGGCATTGCTGGACAGGATGGCAAGCTAAAGTGAGTTGCCCGTACCACCTGTTTGGCAGACTCGCTTACGTCCCAGATGGCCAGTAGAGGGGTGTAGATGGGTTGGAGGTTGCTGGGTGCAAGAAGACGGCCTGCAGGGAGCATCTAAGATGCTAAGATTGCCCAAGCGGCATTACCGTAACCGGACAGTAAGCCGAGCCGCATCAGCTGAAAAGCTGTTACAACTATAAGTCACTCAATAGCGCTCCCATGGGCAGACTCCGCCACGCCCCAGAAGGCCAGAAGGGGGAGCGTGGACAGGCCAAAGATGCTTGAAGCTCAAAGAAGGTGTGCAGCTGATTGACCAGATGTATCAGCCATACCAGGGGACCAGCTGACAGACTGCTGCGAGTTACGAGTGAACTCGCAATGCGAGTATCGCAAGGTTACATCCCGAACTGACCGAAAAGAAGGAAAAAGTGAATCTACGCACTGTCCTTTTTCCTGGGTTAGCAAGGTTCGAAACTAACGCACCACTGTCCTTACTAACCAGGCGACCCCGGGACTGTGAATGGGCGAACTACTCAGAGCGGGGTGAAGAGTAACTCTCAAAATCTCTCTCTAGAGCTTAAATCCAATGCACCAAAAGGGAGAAGCAATACCAAAGAAAACACTGAAATTTCTGGCAAAATACTAATAAAAAAAACAGCAAACCAAAACCCAAATAACGAGACAACTGCTCTTAAGATATTCTAACAAGTACTTGACAAACATGTATAAATGGCCACAATATATACAAGAAACAAACAATGCCACCAGGCAAAGTCTGGAAAGGAGATACGAAAACTAGGTGGATACAAAAATCAGTCTGCCAACCTGCACAAGACTGACAAAAAAAGAACAGCATATATACATGCATGGGAAAAACGGAACAGTCTTACTGTTCACAAGAACAAGAAAGAACAAACAAAAAGGGTGATCAAGAAATGACACCGAAAACACAAGTAACAAAGCAAAACCTCTCGAAAATTTTCGGAATCCAACCAAAACACGTCCGATAATAATGGCACTAAGAAAAAGAGGAAGAACATGGCGGCCACCAGAAACAAACTGGTTGTACTACAGTATGTGAGCCTTTTCTGACTCACCCAGTATAGTCTCAATGAAGAGGCTAGTATTGTCTTGCCATAAAGAACTTGTAGGTGAAGAACTTTAGCCATCAGTCGCTACAAGCCATCTCTAAACACTGGA